CCTTCGTACGACACCTACAAGGATCGGACGAGAGACATTAATTTCGCATCGAAGAGTAGAGCTAAAATCTGATGTAAAAAGCGGCATCGCACGTGAGCGGAAAGAACCAGCAAGATAATCGTTGTCCTCCGATCCTTGTAGGTGTCGTACGAAGGTCGGACTTGTCTTGTTTTGTAGAGAATTTTCTGCTCCATAAGCGCGTGTGTTGAACAACACTTTAGATGTAAGATTTGAAGTCGAAAATTTTGTAATTTTAAAACTGATGAGTCATCGAGAATTAAAAATGTTTTAAATGAAGTCTCAGATTACACTTTTCGGAGCAAAAATCGCATGGTTTTGTTCAGTTTTTCACGCTCTTTCTGATGATATACTTGCTATTGAATCTGAAACATTTTTTGAATTTTGAAATTTGAATTTTAGCGGCCGTCTTAAAATTAAAAATCCAAATTTAAAGTTCAACGTTTCTAAAATTTTCTTTTTTTTAAATATAGCTCGGCAAATCCTCTACAAAATGGCTCATGTTTTATGTCGTTTTATCAAACTTTCTAGCTCAGGAAATACAAAATACGAAAAATCGTTTAAAATCATGTCCGCTGAAGAGAAAATGTTTTCCCTCTCATTCATCCAAATCAAGTCCGATTTTAAAACTTTTTCTAGACCAGATAGATACCAGTGTTGGTATCCAGTTGGTATCCAGAGAGTTGATGTTCAGCTACATCATGTATAGGAGACACAAAATCACGAAAACAAAAATTCATTTAAAATTATGTCCGCCACTTTAGTTAAATCGAAAGTTCTACTGTTACAGTCACTTGTTTTGTAAAGAATTCTTTCGATAAACTTGTTTGTTTATTCTCGTCTCTTTATCACGTTCGTTGCTTGGTAGGTATCAGATCAGAGATTTCTTTAGACGAAACAAATTATATAGAATTTAGTATTGCGGCTTTCGAGAAGTTGCTCTTAAATTGAAATTTGTTTTTATTTTTCCTTAGACATTAAAAATAATAAATATTTAACGTGGGAAGACGTTGAATTTTATCTACTGGTGAGTATGGTGGCTGTACATTCTTGCCTGTTACATCTGCCAACTGGTCTCTCTGTACTTCTAGTTCCATTTGACCACCGCTCAAAAAGAAGGTGTTCGGGGTTTCGAACAGAATTTGAGCCATCAGACACGTGAAATATGGGAACTTATTCAAGATGCCACTCCAAATGAAGACAAAGCTCGAAATATCCTGACATTAGATCAGTTTTTAGATACATGGGGAGCTTTATCACGATATATTGTTGAAACTAGTAAATTACCACGAGTGTTTGAAGATTGGATCAAGTTAGGATTCGATTTATACGATTTAGATGGTGAGATGAGTGATTAGTGATGATAACTACTATATTGCCTACTGCTTTCGTTGTAATAGGAAAGGGTGATATACCACCAGATTCATTTCAAATGCTTTACAATAAAATGGGTCTGGGTCAAACGTATGCTTTGATAGCATATAAATTTCTAACAGAGGTGAGTGAATAGTGAACTGATATTTGTCAGCGAAATTATATTGTTGAGCAAGCAATTTTGTAGAAAACATTGAAAATTAATATTTTTTCAATTTGTTCTAGAGTGGTACAAAGCCGTTAGATTTTGAGCGTGTTCTGTCAATAATAAAAGCTTTAATAACTTCTTCCGATGATGAACATTTCAGTCATTTCCTATTACCAGGATTCTTCCGACAAGTTATGGCTAAACGAGATCGAGAACAACATGGTAAAGATGGAATTCTTAATTTTTATATCAAAGATATTTTTCTGAAGATCTTACTGTTTTTTTCGTCCCATCGAAGTTCATTATAGCTTGGCCGCATCTCGCTCGTTGTGCTTTATTATAACCTTATTGACCCATTCATCTCGTATTGTCGACTTTTTTCTTCAAAGCCAGTCAACCTCGTCCCGCTCTAAAAAATTCTCTTCATACTAAGATCTATTTGCTGTCAAAAACGCATATCGTGACTGGTCTAAAAATTCTCGCGTGATAAGACAGGAACTTTTTACCACTCATAAAATTTGGGTTTCTTCATAAAAGAAAACGTAACGCTTTCTTTATTTTTTCCCTATCTCCGTGTAATCGATATTTTCGTCCAGTAAGAATTTTTTCTATCGCTCCCGTCACTTGACTGAGCTTTTCTACCGGTGGTTCATCGCAGAGAACGAGACAAGACTATTCGGTACACTTTTATTCTTTACTTTACTAATTAGCCTTCTTTAGATGAAAAATTCAGAAATGTTGGAGATGATCGTGATTCGTTTTCAGATAAAGATGATGGACAACGTGGAAAATCTGATAGAGATTCATCACCCAGTCAGCCACAGCAGCAGCAACCAGATGGTAAAGGTGACAGATCACTATCTCCACCGCAGGATCGACAAAATAATCGAAAACAAGATGAAAATCAACAAAAACCGTCTCCTCAGCCTGCAACACAAGAAAACTATGCATCCAATTCTCAGTCTTACCCGCCCTCGTTTACTGATGATAGCCATATAAAACAAATTTTACGTGAATTAAATTTTGAATGTGATGAAGTGGAAGTTATTGATGGAAATAGTCGACGTAAATTAGTTTTACACGATCATCCAAATCAACAAGACAGATACCAAGAAGAACTAAGACAATTTGAAAGACAAGTAGCAGGTCAGAATGAATTTCTTCATGTATAGTTTCTTACGTACTAAATAACATTGATATCATAGAGCTAAATCAACGCGCATTAGCAGGACAATTACGTACAAACAACAGTTTTGATCAACAACCTCCGACTGCATCCGCACCTTACCTACAACTACAGCAATATCAATACGAAACTCCAACAGGTTTGCTAGTTTTTAGTTTAAAATGATAAGAATATTTTTTTCTCATTGTGTGTAAAAAGTTATTCTAGTTGGGAGTTGAGAGAAAAGCGCATTTAAAATGGAAAAATTGAGTAATTCATTTCATAGGTGTCGACCAAAACAAACAGCCACATCTATTGGATCGCATCGATAATGAAAATCAACAGGGGCGATCTTCAAAATCTGATCAGCAGCAGCCCACCTCTTCTTCTCAACAACAGTCCTCTTCGACCACGCAACAAGCTTCTAATCAAAATACTCCACAACAAGCAGAAAATTCCAATGCTTCGGCTCAACGAAAGCAATCCCGTCCACAAGAACATACTGAAAGTTGGTCAAGGGACCAGAAAGACCAGGATCAATTGCCCCAACAAAACGGTCAACAGCGGCAACCTTCCACCCTAAAATCATCTGCACAACAAAAACTCTCTGAAGTGCCACAGCTACAACAACAGTACCAACAGTCCAAGCCCACAGTTCCACTATTTCAGCAAAATCAACAACCAGGAATTCGACAAGTCTATCCGCCAAATGAACAATACTACAAACAACCTCAGAGTGCAAGCTATTCTCAGCAGCAACCGTCTTCTCAACAACAGCAACCGTCTTATCAACAGCGGCAATCGTCTTCTCAACAGCAGCAACCATCTTCTCAACAGCAGCAATCGTCTGCTCAACAGCAGCAACCGTCTTATCAACAGCGGCAATCGTCTTCTCAACAGCAGCAACCATCTTCTCAACAGCAGCAACCATCTTCTCAACAGCAGCAACCGTCTTATCAACAGCAGCAACCGTCTTATCAACAGCGGCAATCGTCTTCTCAACAGCAGCAACCATCTTCTCAACAGCAGCAACCGCCTTATCAACAGCAGCAATCGTCTTCTCAACAGCAACAACCATCTCGTCAACAAAAAGATGAAACAAAGGTAAATCCACTGCATAACTCCACTGCACTGTTGGTTTTTTAAAATTTCCGCTAATGTAACCATAGTACATCTGGTATTTCTTTTAAGGAAACCGGCAATCGCTCAGCACAGTCGTCGAATGAACAACCTTCTAAACAACAACAATCACCACCATCGAGTTCAGCTCAAGATAATCAAAATAAATCCAACATTTCACCTCAACAATCAGCTTACCAACAAAATTATTCCTCAAACAATGATGGTAGTAGCAAAGAGGTAAGACATTTTTGCTAGATAATTGCTGATTCAATAGCTCTCTTTTTCCGTTTCAGCCATCGACTGCTACTAGTGGTATAAAATCGCCGCCTCGTAGGAATGAACAAAATGAACAACCAAATTCGAACACTGGTGAACAAAAACCATCTCAGAGCGGAAATGATTTTCGAAGTCCAACACGTGATGATCAACTAGACCAAAGCAGTACTCGTGATCATAAAAAGAAACAAGATAATGAACCTAAATTGTCACAAGAAGCTCAAGATAAGTGTATTTCTAACGTACTTCGACAAATAACGCCACTTATAGAAAGACTCGTGCAAGATGAAGTGAGAAAAGCGATCAGAAATCTAAGTTCACCAGGAGATGGAGATAGTGACGACGAGACTGGACAATTCTTTGGAGTTGATCCATTTCAGATTATGTTTGGCGGCGGTATGCCTTTTGGTGGACCGCTGTTTACCCCAAACAGAGCATACGACAGATCACAACGGGGATATGGATTAGACGATCATCAAGCGTTTACAAGTGGACAACAGCAACAACAACCACAATCTGCGCAAGGACCACAGAAATGGGGTCAACAATCACAAAACTTCTCAAACCCACAAGAACAACGGCCAAATCGTCCAAACGTTAATGAAGAGCGTAACAATAATAGAGTAAGATTTATCTAAGATGTTTCATTGCAATGATAAGACTGCTCTTTCTTTTACCCTAGTAAATTTGTCTATTAGCATAGTAACTTCTGAAAATGTTGAGAAAATCTAGAAAAAGACGATCTATACACGTTTGATATTATTTTAGGGAAATGAACGAACGTTTTACAGTGGACCCGACGGGTCGTTAGGTGGTGGATCCGGACCATTTTTGCCACAGAATCCAATGTTCATGATGGACGGATCAAGAGGAACTGTACCAGGAATGGGTGGACTGATGGGTGGACCAATGGGTGGGCCGATGGGTGGTCAAGGTAAGAATTTAGCCTATAGAACTATCTAGGTAAATGAGATATATTTCTTACTTTTACAGGTTTTATTTTAATAATGGGGGATGACGAGCGGGACGAAATACAAATGGGCCGAAGAGGAAGACAGCCACCACGATTTCCGCAATAGTTTGGGATTTTAACTAAAATACGAGAACAGTGTTGTTTATTTTGAATAGCATTAGATATTTTTTAAAAATAAATAAATCATCCTTTCCTAATGTGTCGTTTCACGAACGTGTATGATTAGACATCTTTACAAAATTTATTGGATTATTTAAATACGAATACAGTACAAATAGTTAATAAAAATATAATTTTTAATATGCTTCTATTCGTACAATTATTATTTTCAACAGCTAAACGTTTCGACGTTTACCAACGTCTTCATCAGTAACAAAACAATTTTTAAAAAAACTTGCCAGTGAAATTAGAATAACACACACGGCAAAAAAAAAGCGTCCAAAAGTTGACGCTTTTTAGTGGATGGTTTTTTCGTCATACCTTGGTATATCTTTTTACTGAACGTTTTCTGCTGGATGCTTTTTTTGTGAACAAATTTTTTCTTATACTTTTAGTCACATGAAAAAACAAAATTTGAAGAGATTTCTAAATAATATTTCACTCACTTGTAACCGCACTATACTGTCGAAGCATGTCTGATCTGCTGGACCGATCCACTATTAGAGGTATTAGCCGCGCCGTTGTCGCCGCCATTAACAGAATTTGTTTTTGAAGTTTTTCATCGCCGCTGATCCGAAACTTTTTCAAAACTTCTTCGAAGAAAATTTATTGAAAATTCTAACCTTTTTTAAAATTTTCACGCCGCCGCCGATAAAGTAATTGGCTAACACCTCTATCCACTATCGCAAGAAATCAGTTGTTTCTGAGATAAGCTAGTGCAGTGAAGCAATTCATCTATACAGTATGCACTTAAATACTATGCCTGTCACTTAACGTTCCCAGGTCGACGAAAACTGGCATTTAATTGTCCATTAACAGCCTGTTAGCTGTATGCCAAAAAATAGCCTGTTAATTGTGTAAAAATCGAATGAAAATTGTCATTTAACAGCCATTACAATGACAATTTTTTGACTTTGAAATAACGGTGAAAATAATGCCAGATTATAGGCAATG